TTTCAAAGTATGCTATTCGACTCAGTTTTGTTTGCTGATCTCAAATATGTTATTAGTTTTACTTGAAAATATAAGGAAAGTGGAAAGGGCGCAAAATAAGTGAAATGGCAAAGGTTAGAGGTGAGTGTATAAATCTTTCTGACAAAAGTTTCACCTACGTTTTTCGGAACCATAGATTTCTATGATTATTTTTTCATAATTATGATGAGCATTGAATGCAGATTCTATAGTAGAAAGAGAGACTATTAGTTCCTCACCCTCGCTCTACTACATATGTTTCAATTGTGACTTCTCGTTCTCAATGAATTTCCATAACCACACAATAGTTACCCTTCATACTTTGACTAGATAATCTACAGTTGTCGAAGAGTATTTGCTGTGAGTTTGAAGTCGAATTGATGTTCCTAGAATGAATTATGAGTTTTTCTTGGAAAGGGCCTCATATCTCAGAACCTCATTTCCAGAGTTCTCGATCATAAAATAGTTGTCTTTCAGTAACCATTAACAACTACCACTTTAAATTCATTTCGTAGACAGAGGAGAATCAGGACCACATTTTGGTAAAAAGAAAAAATTTTCATCTCTCTTGGATCACGAGTTATTAGCATTTTATGGAAAAGAAGTAAAACACTTATGTTTCAGGAACCATCTAGTAAAAGAGGCCTAAACTTGGTGAGTGATCAGCATTCGATAAGATCTATGATCACACAAAATTAGAAATCCCTAGCTATCATGGTTCTTGAGTTATAGGAGGCCCGCTACTTTTGAGGAGTACTGTAAAATGCAGTCATTCTGATAGAAATCTTAATGAGAACGAGCATTTTCACTACAGCATAGCTCTGTCTCAAATTAGAAGCTTGCAGTATTATAAAACATGACGAAGCTTTTCCATTTTGACAGCTCGATTACATACGGTCCTGTATCCTCATTGGTAAACGATAGATTTGGAACGGAATTTATTGTTTGTTGTGAATTTGCCAAATAAATAAAAAATGATGTGATTAATCCCAGCGAGAAGAATAGATAATTTCCACTAATTAACATGCTGGTAAATAATGTTTAATTATTAGACAATAATAATTTCGTTTGATCATTATTATCGATTTGATTGATAATAACTTAATCGTATCATTGATACTATCATTTTTATATGAAATGATCATAATTCATGGCCAAACTCTACTGGATCTTATACAAGTATAAAATAATTTGTCTTCAATAAATTCTCTCTCTTTCTTGGTGTGTGCGTGTCTCTCCTTCCAGCGTGACACAAAATATTTCTACTATGTTGTTGCATGATCATGTCAACAAAACGAAGCGACGGACGCGCAATAGTAATTTTTTCTTCGTCTTCTTTTTTTCTTGAGAAAAGAATTTACCCGGAAGTTTCTCTCTCTCTCTCTAGTTGGCACACACTAACTCGTTTATATAAGGAAAAAAGGGGAAAAAGGAAAAAGGAAAAGATTATTCTGAAAATAAAAGTACAGCTGAAATTCTCTTTTGTTCGTATTTTTCTTTCTTTGCTTCATTTCAGCAATACATAGAGCAGAGAAAGAAATAGTGCGTGCGATCCGTCAGTACTAGTAAAGCAATGGATAAAAATTTATAACCACACTAGTTTAGTGGAATATTTTTTTTTCATTTCTACTAAGAATAGTTCGTTTCAATCAAAATCAAAATGCTTTTAAAACTATGATAGATTAATAATATAGAACATGAAACATTTTCTATATATAATATCCGCTTGCAATCTCAAAGAAAGTCTTGTCTATAATTTTCAAATGCCAATTTTATATTTCTTTGATATTAAGTTTTTATAAATTATTTTATCAAGAAATGAGAAAAATTAAACATCATTAATTCTGTGTCTAGAAATGCTATTTGAGATCATCGCTATTGTTTTCGCATAGTTTACTGATGTTTAATTAATCTTTGTTAGATCATAATGCTGATTGTTAGTCAAATATTTAGCTCTTGGTTTGTTTGTACGTTACATGTATGATCACTTGACTTATTTGCATAAGTTTTGAATTCTTTACGGAAGGAAGACACATCTAAATAATATTTTTTCGTGACAATGTGAACAAAGAAATCTAAAAATGATCAACTAGACTGATGGAATGTGAAAGTGATTGTTTTTACTTACTACTGTTGGTCAGACGATGAACGTTTGATAGATTTATTGCTCCATTCAAAATTTGGTCATAGAGTAATGCCCTTGGCACATTTTCTGTAGGATCAACTTTTGTTTTTTGTCCCAGATGAAAGATATAGTAAAACTGAATTGAGCTGACCTTTCACTTGTAGTTCGGATTCATATATATCTCATTTTTTTCTAATACAATAAAAGTTTTTAAAAAACTAGTCAGTTCAGAAATATTGACGATGTACCAATATATTAGTAGTCCTCTTTACATAGATGAAGAAATTTCAAATATTATATTTTGAAAAACAATCTTAGCTCGCATTGACTTTACATAAAAAAATTATTAAATATTTAGTGACAGCAAATTTCTTGATCATCTTTCTTTATCGATCTCGGAAGATCATTTGCCGGATTCAAATCAAAGAAACCGTTAGGCTTCAACATAAATCCAATACAAGCCACTGGCATCACGGGGTAATCTTCCGGTCGTGGAATGTGTGTATGACCAAAGGTGTACCAAAGAACTAAATCTGTATTTGTTATATGTCGATCCTTTTCTGTCCAATACGCTAAACTATCACCGCCCTGACTCTGATTCGGGTACATTCCTGCTCCAAAACATTCATCTTCAGCATAGGGTGTTATCCATACATGATGATCAACGAATGTGGCACGTTTACGCCACCAGGCAGTTTTAGGAGAAAATGGAATACAATTATCACCGGGAATTAATTTGTATCCCACAGGCTCATCTAGCCCATTCAAAACATTTTCATTCACAATTTTCCATGTTCTCGACGTTTCCAGATTTAAATTCGCTTGTGCTTGCTTTTCCGTTTCAAGACGAGTTTTTTTTACTTGAAATGCATTATGATACGGATTTTGAGGTCCGATTTCATCAGGAACAACATCCAATTGATAAGCTGTATTATTGATCCCATCAATAGCGAGATCAAGACGAACATTAAAAAAGTGTTGATGATATGGTCCGATTAATTCAGGAGCAACGAGAGTGCCGTATGGTGACTTCTTGCCGGGTGGTACAGCACCAAGCGATAATATACCCGTCATCTTTACTTCAAACTGAATGTTCCCATCTTGATACAAATACCAATAAAATGCATATTCATAATTTTCAATCGTGGCTATCGACGAGATGACAAGACGACGAGAACGACGAACTTCTGGAATGCACAATCGTCGATCAGTATGTTTCCATAGAATTCCATTGTCCTCTTCATGCATGCACACGGCATTTTTAATGATCCATGGTTCCCCACGACTCGTACACAAATTTCCGTCAAAATATTTAATCAATCCCAAACAATCACATCCGAGTTCAAGACTATTTGTACTACAACCGAGTCCATATTCACCGCAATCAAATGCATTTTTACGCGCTTGTTGTGGCGATGGATCGGCATATGGAATGACCATTTCAGTTAACGATGCTCGATAAAGAATCGAACGTTTATCATAACAAAGATGATGCAATGTCAAACCTTCTCGCATGTTAAATCCAATAACAAAGTTCCATTTCTGCCATGATACTTGATTTCCATCAACAAGAAAACTGGGTCCTTGTGGCTGAACAATTTCCAACGGGCGAATATCGGTACGGACGTTTGGTGTACGGTCAGCAGCATAATTACATGTTACATAGGGTATCGGATAATGGTTGTATTCTTCAATACGAATCACTTTCATTTCATTTAAATCGACCACTGGGCGTAAACCTTCGATGGGATGTGTGTATCCATTATCTTTTGGGTCAGAACGAACGAAACACAATGGTCTTGCTAGACGATGTGTACGTTCTTCTTCTTCTCCATAGTATCCCGCAGACCAGATATCACACATAACCAATGACATGTCTTCTATTCCATAGTACTTCTTAACAATTTCTTGAAATTCGGTTGAATTAAGAATTGCTTGTTCACATTCAATTTGTTCATCAATCGTCATAGTCGGTTGTACATTGGGAACATGTTTAAATGTCAAAATTTGTTGATCAGTAAGAGAAAGTGTTGCTTCATAGCAAGAATTTGTTTTGTTGTCAAATAAAATAGCATTAGCTTGACGATTAACTGAGTGTTTATCACTACTAATATAATCATGAACAAATTGTTTT